AAAAGCTCGTGATTGTTCGATAGCTATTAAAGAGTTGCTTAATCATCTTGTACTCTTCTTCTCTAAAGGAAGTGGAAGTTACTTAATCGTTTTGAATTCTTCTTCTAATGGAAGTGAAAGTTACTTGTTCATTTTGAATACTTCTTCTACCAAAGTTCCTATAAATAGGTGCATTGGCATATAGTTTAAACTATTGGGTAGAAGAGATTGTAAGGTTTGTATGAGAGTGTTGTTGAGAGAAAATAACTTTATTGTATGAAATATATGTTATTAGATTTATGGAAGTTTGTTTATTTGAGCGAAAAGCGATATTCTATTACAACTTCTACCCATCATACTTTAGGTTTTTTTTTTTTAATCTTCTTTCTTGAGTAATTTTTACTCTTTTTGATCCCAATTCTCTCCTCCACTTCATCTTTATATTGGTTTGCTGACTTCGTCCACCATCGCTTCAACCACCTGAACTTCATTCCCAAACACATGTAGATTTTTGAATTTCTACAGTGTTTCTAGATGTACTTAAGCCCAAAAATGCTTTATTTAATTCTTATTATCGTACTATTGGCTAGTATAATATCTTTGAATAAATTGAGGATGAAATTAATGAGGCATCTGTTATACAAAAGACAGACGTATCTCAATATGTCAAACAATTAAAAAGAGAAGTCACTAATTTTTTTCAATCCCGCTAATCATAATTTGATTCTGTCTATACCTTTTGGCATAAAGAGTCGTGGAGACATACTAATAAGAATAAACTAGGTGGGATAGGCAGGTGATATATAGCTTGGGTTCCAAGTCAGGCTGGCTGCGAGAAATATGGAAATATTTCCAATGCTAACTCGGAAAATTCAAACTTTTTAGCAGTTTTGCCAATCAAACATGGCCAATGACCAGTGTTCTAAAAGGCTGATGTTCAGCCAAAACACCAAGCCAAGTGGCTTGGTGCCTTAATTGGTAGTCAACAATTTCCGTTGACTGCGCGCATCGACGAGCAATATCATCCTTTTTTAATTTATTTTTTTTTATTTTGTGGTGTTAAAAAATTATCAATGGCTAATTTCTTCATTTTGCCCTAATTTAAAACAACCAATTGTATTGGAAGACATGGAGGACGAATTTAATGAAGAAGAGATTTTGAATTGGAGTTCAATAAAGAGTTAGATAAGATTTAAGTTCCTATACTATATATTTACTAATTTGTATTTAAATTTGAAATTTATCTTTTTATTGAAAATTTTGAAAAAATGTGTAACATTCCTATAAATCTGTTTTAAAAATTTAGTAAGTATTATTTTTAATTATTAAATATTTTTTTGATTTATTAAAAATTAAAATAATATTGAAATAAGAAAACTCATTTTTACGCTTTTTTACGCCTAAACCTCGCCTAAGCTCGCATTGCCCATACCTTGGCCTCAACGCATTGTCAAGCATTACGACTTTTACAACACTGCCAATGACAGGCCTGTTAACAGGCCAAGGTGTTGATAACACCTTGGGCCTTGATTGTTATGCTGTGGGCCCCATGAAATTCACACCTCGGCCGTGGATTTAAACCCGGGATTTAATCCCAAGTTTTGTAGCAGGCACCACTTTTTAGGGTCCACAAGTTATGAAGGAGTCCTCTTTTAACCCTTTGTCTGGTAATAACATCAACCATATGATGATCTATCATCTCGATCGGAAGAAAGTTTGAATGGTTTATTCAATGTAAGGGCTTGATTGGTCGCACTTATACAGCGGTGGTGCCCCGAAACAAAGGGGCCACGCAGTTGCAGTCACTACGATAGGGTCATTATGTAATCCGAATGCTACAAAAAATTAGGTTAGAATGGCCTTTTCTATTTCCAAAAAAAAGTATTGTAATAAATAATCAGGGTCGACCCTCATATTTTGGGGGCCTTATGCCAATTTCAAATTGGGGCCCTATATTTTGAGTTATTTTGTATAGAGTTTTAGCCCCTGTTTGATGGAGATTATGCTATTGTTTGAGGCCTATTTTTTCATCAAAATACATTTTTCAACAATAATTTGACACCATTTCAACCATACATTTTTAATAAAATAATCTTACACGTAAATCCAAATTTTTTTCTTATTTTTTAACCAAACATTCTCCATCGTAACACTATTTCAAAATGATTTTTTTTATTTTTAGAAAAATGGGGCTCAAACAACTCCTAAAATATAATTTCCATTTTTTTCAAAATGCTTTATTAGTTTCTTATGTTTGTATATGATACTTCTATATTACAGAATTTCATAAATATACTTTTCATTTTTTTTTCGACCAACCAATTAACTTTACATAATTTGGGACCCTCACCAAAATGGGGCCTTAGGCGATCACCTGCTTCGCCTGTACTCAGGGCCACCGTATAAATACTTTCCATAATTAACACTGGAACTAAAATACTCGAGATTTTTTCGAGAATTTTGTTATATGATCAAGAACTCCACTGAAACGACCCTGAGAGATGAAAAGATAGACATGCATTTATTAAATGGAAAGTCATTAATGTTAAACAATTCATTAACTTCACTAAACTACTTCAATTAAGATTTCATCAATGTTAAAGTTTTCTTAATAAATTACATAAGCCACATAAATTCTTACGTTATCAATTAGAGAGCGGTTTATAGATGAAGGAATGGGGAAATTAAATCCCTCTCTTAGTTGTCCACTACAATAATTCTTGATTTATTGCATTATATAAATTAAGAGTCAAGACCTATCTTTCACTCACAAATTGAGATGCCTTCCAAATTTGTTCTCTTGGTTATTGGTATTCAGGCTTACACCAGCACCGCAAGAAATCTTGTTGGCTCAAAGGATTCTTTCAATGATGAGAAAACATTCTCCTTGGATCATCCAATTTCAGGAGTCGGAGGGTTTGGTGATGGAGGTGGTTTAGGGGACGGTATTGGTTCATTTAAACTTTATCAAATATATAAGTTACAAACTTATTTAGTTTATTTTGTTCTTAGGGATGCAAAATATCACATACCTTGGCTGCTTCAACATACATGGCATAAGAAAGCCTAAAAAGTCGACGCTTATCATGGACGGAATGTACTTCTTAATAAGGGTTAGTATGTTTCATTGGATTTCTGGTGATAAGTCATTCACAATGATGCATAATGTTATCACTCTGTTTAGGGTTTACAAACTTCGATTGAGTTTTTTGTTATTTTCATCTTTAATCTCTACTGTTTATTTGGAATGTGAAAATTGAATCATTGTTATGGAATCGTTTAAAGCTTTTTACTATTGATAATTTATTTATTTTACCCTTTTTATTTTAAATTCTTACCATACTTTTGGCACATGAACCTTTAACATTCACAGAAATGCAGTAAGGGGTAAAAATAAACTGGGGTATGTATTCAAATATGAAATTATGAGTTACACTCAGTTCTGGAAGCTAGGAGAACAGCTTTTGATGAAGGAATTGGTGCAAAATATTTGATATTTTCTCATTATTGAGTCGTAGGCGATTGAAATCGTGAATGGAATGCTATTAAAATTGAAATGAAATTGATATAGTAAGTTTGCGTTCACGTAGATGAATTTCTTGATAAGATAGAGCCAACTGAAAATATTAGTTACCACAATACATTGCCTTATTGGTATGTTTATTAAACACAAAGAATAAAGTCTTTTCCCCCACTAATTTGCTTTATTTTATTGGCTGAGAAATGTATATTCATTTCATATTATATCTGTTGTAGATGATTTCTCTGTTATGCTTCAACTTAATGTTTCTTTTTGGAATATAGTTTATTTATATTGGAAGTCAAATATGAGATAATGTAAAAAAAGAGGAGCAAAATTGATTTCTTGTTTTATCCGTATTGACATTTAAAAACAAACTAAGCCTTTCAACTTAGTACATTATGTTATTGCTCACTGTACTTGGGTAAATGCACCTGAATTGCCATATGTATTTAGATTCTATTTTATAGATTTCTTCAAATACTCCTTTGCACTCTATAGTTTAATTCAACGCTCTTAGTGATTAACGGTTTCGTTATATATGGATTCCTTTTTAATCATTAAAAAGTTAATAATTAATATGGGATCTTTGCTAAATACTAACAAATGGCTGATGTTGTTTATTTCTCCTTTAGAAAATTGAAAATTTTGAGAAAGCAGCTCAAAAGGTTGGAAGAGGAATTCTTAGTGGACAGCAAAGTTCTAATAAGGTCAGTTGTGTTGAGATCCTTACCTCATTCTCATACACTTTATGATTTCTTTGTACTCTATCGTGTTGACCATATGAATGTCAACTAGAACATATTCCAGCATTCTTCTGAACAATTAAAATTGCAGTTTTCTTGATAATTTTACCTATGCTTCCAAAAGGCTATTAGGAGTTCTACTGATTTTGCTCAAGCTTGGCCCTCCATCTCTATATTCAACGATCTTCTGTCCATCTTTCGACACTTACAGGTGCCAATTTTGTTGTAATGTGTTTTCATATTTGTTTTCACGATGAACACGATGTAAATGTAAATGTGCTCGTGCACATTTACATTTACATTTACTTTCATCAGAAAGTAAATGTAAATTTACACGTGTACACTTACATTTACTTTCAGATGGACACGATGTAAATGTAAATGTGCACGTGTTCATCGTGAAAATCGTGAAAGTAAATGTAAATTTACACGTGTACATTTACATCGTGTTCATCACAATTTAAAATTAATGTTTGATTTGAACTGAATTTATAAATTATTTTCTACTAAAACGGAGCTTTTTGAAAAAAAAAATCCAAGAAGACGCGATTCATTAGTCAAAAAATTAAAAGATAATACAATAAAATAAACTAAAACAAAAAAACTTTATTGATGTGTCTTCATTCATAACTACACTTCGTACGGTGAAAACATCTCTCACTCCAGTAACTTTCAGAAACTAAACATCGGGTTCATTTTCTAGGATCAAAATTGAAAGAAAAAGTTCAAGATTTGTAATATAAGAAAAATAAGAATCATGGTTCAATGACAGTACTCTGGCGGCACAATGAGCAGGTTTGACTAATATCCAACCATGTTTTGATGCATTCGAAGTGAAATCCATGGTTGCATGCCGGAAGACACCGGAACAATTCTTGGTCTTTGAATTCAAATAGACAGATAGAGCATTCATGATCTCTACCTTCTTGTTCGATGTAAATATCGACAACTATTTCATCCATCCTCCCTTTTGTCATCTGGGATCGAGTTGAAGTTGGTGATGATGGTGGCGGCGGCGGTGGTTGACCATTTACGACTAGCAGCTCATTTTGTTCCGATTCTGCATATCCATTCCCCCTCTTTTTCAACAAATATTGAATCAACAAAAATATCACAGTCGAGGTGAAAACAAATGGTAAAAGGTACAAAATATCAGGCATCTTTAAGGAAGACGATGAAGAAGGGAGACGGAAAGATTAGAGCAGACAAAAAACTGCAATGCACAGTGGTATTTATATACTAGTTTGTGGGAGTCTCTACAAGGAAATAAATAGTAATACTCGTTTTCAATCAACGTAAGGATTTTTAGGAAAAATCTCGCCGCACAGTAGACATGTAAAAGGTAAGATATTTTTATTAATTATCTTCTGTATTATCACAATTTTGTGGAGGAAGCCAAAAGGAAATTTTCACAAAGGGGAATAGATTTATATTATAATGTGAATGATAAATTATCATGACATGAGAATGTTAGATTTCTTCAAATACTCCTTTGCACTCTATAGTTTAATTCAACGCTCTTAGTGATTAACGGTTTCGTTATATATAAATTTCTTTTTAATCATTAAAAAGTTAATAATTAATGTGGGATCTTCTTTAAATACTAACAAATGGCTGATGTTGTTTATTTCTCCTTTAGAAAATTGAAAATTTTAAGAAAGCAGCTCAAAAGGTTGGAAAAGTAATTCTTAGTGGACAGGAAAGTGCTAATAAGGTCAGTTATGTTGAGATCCTTATCTCATTCTCATACAATTTATGATTTCTTTGTATTCTATCGTGTTGACCATATGAATGTCATCTAGAATGTATTCCAGCGTTCTTTTGAACAATCAAAATTGCAGTTTGCTCAATAATTTTACCTATGCTTCCAAAAGGTTATCAGGAGTTCTACTGATTTTGCTCACGCTTGGCCCTCCATCTCAGTATTCAACGATCTTCTGTCAATCTTTTGACACTTACAGGTGCCAATTTTGTTGTAATGTGTTTTCATATTTGTTTTCACGATGAACACGATTACATTTACATTTACATTTACTTTCATGAAAAAGTGAATGTAAATTTACACGTGTAAATTTACATTTACTTTCACGATGAACACGATGTAAATGTAAATGTGCACGTGTTCATCGTGAAAGTAAATGACATTTACTTTCACGATGAACACGTGCACATTTATGATGTAACATTTACTTTCACGATGAACACGTGCACATTTACATTTACATCGTGTTCATCGTGAAAGTAAATGTAAATGTAAATGTAATCGTGTTTATCGTAAAAAAAAATATGAAATCACATTACAACAAAATTGGCACCTGTAAGTGTTGAAAGATGGAGAGAAGATCGTTGAATATAGAGATGGAGGCCCAAGCGTGAACAAAATCAGTAGAACTCCTAATAACCTTTTGGAAGCATAGGTAAAATTATCAAGCAAACTGCAATTTTGATTGTTCAAAAGAACTCCGGAATACGTACTAGTTGACATTCATATGGTCAACACGGTAGAATACAAAGAAATCATAAAGTGTATGAGAATGAGATAAGGATCTCAACATAACTGACCTTATTAGCACTTTCCTGTCCACTAAGAATTCCTCTTCCAACCTTTTGAGCTGCTTTCTCAAAACTTTCAATTTTCTAAAGGAGATATAAACAACATCAGCCATTTGTTAGTATTTAAAGAAGATCCCTTATTAATTATTAACTTTTTAATGATTAAAAAGGAATTCATATATAACGAAACCGTTAATCACTAAGACCGTTGAATTAAACTATAGAGTGCAAAGGAGTATTTGAAGAAATCTAACATTCTCATGTCATGATAATTTATCATTCACGTTATAATATAAATCTATTCCCTCTTGTGAAAATTTCCTTTTGGCTTCCTCCACAAAATTGCGATAACTAATATTACAGAAGATAATTAATAAAAATATCTTACCTTTTACATGTGTAGTGTGTGGTGACATTTACCCTAAAAATCCTTACGTTGATTGAAAACAAGTATTACTATTTATTTCCTTGTAGAGACTCGCACAAACTAGTATATAAATACCACTGTTCATTGCAATTTTCTGTCTGCTCTGATCTCTCTGTCTCCCTTCTTCATCATCTTCCTTAAAGATGCCTGATATTTTGTACCTTCTACCATTTGTTTTCACCTCGACTGTGATATTTTTGTTGATTCAATATCTATTGAAAAAGAGGGAGAATAGATATGCAGAATCGGTACAAAATGAGCTGCCAGTCGTAAATCGTCAACCGTCGCCGCCGCCACCATCATCACCAACTTTAACTCGATCCCAGATGACAAAAGGGAGGACGGATGAAATAGTCGTCGATATTTACATCGAACAAGAAGGTGGAGATCATGAATGCTCTATCTGTCTATTTGAATTCAAAGACCAAGAATTGGTCCGGTGTCTTCCGGCATGCAACCACAGATTTCACTTCGAATGCATCAAAACATGGTTGGATATCAGTCAAACCTGCCCATTGTGCCATCAGGGTACTGTCATTGAACCATGATTCTTGTTTTTCTTATATTACAAATCTTGAACTTTTTCTTTCGATTTTGATCCTAGAAAATGAACACGATGTTTAGTTTCTGAAATTTACTAAGAGTGAAAGATGCTTTCACCGTACGAAGTGTAGTTATGAATGAAGACACATCAATAAAGTTTTTTTGTTTTTGTTTATTTTATTGTATTATCTTTTAATTTTGTGACTAATGAATCACGTCTTCTTGGATTTTTTTTTTTCAAAAAGCTCCGTTTAGGTAGAAAATAATTTATAAATTCAGTTCAAATCAAACACTAATTTTAAATCGTGATGAACACGATGTAAATGTACATGTGTAAATTTACATTTACATTTACTTTCATTTGAAAGTAAATGTAAATTTACACGTGTAAATTTACATTTATTTTCTGATGAAAGTAAATGTAAATGTAATCGTGTTCATCGTGAAAACAAATATGAAAATACATTACAACAAAATTGGCCCCTGTAAGTGTCGAAAGATGGACAGAAGATCGTCGAATACAGAGATGGAGGGCCAAGGGTGAGCAAAATCAGTAGAACTCCTGATAACCTTTTGGAAGCATAGGTAAAATTATCAAGCAAACTGCAATTTTGATTGTTCAAAAGAACGTCGGAATACGTTCTAGTTGACATTCATATGGTCAACACGATAGAATACAAAGAAATCATAAAGTGTATGAGAATGAGATAAAGATCTCAACATAACTGATCTTATTAGCACTTTCCTGTCCACTAAGAATTCCTCTTCCAACACTTTGAGCAGCTTTCTCAAAATTTTCAATTTTCTAAAGGAGAAATAAACAACATCAGCCATTTGTTATTATTTAAAGAAGATCCCATATTAATTATTAACTTTTTAATGATTAAAAAGGAATTCATATATAACGAAACTGTTAATCACTAAGAGCATTGAATTAAACTATAGAGTGCAAAGGAGTATTTGAAGAATTCTATAAAATAGAATCTAAATGCATATGGCAGTTAAGGTGCATTTACCCAAGTACAGTGCGCAATAACATAATGTACCAAGTTGAAAGGCTTAGTTTTTTTTGAATGTCAATCATACGGATAAAACAAGAAATCAATTTTGCTCCTCTATTGTTACATTATCTCATTTTTGACTTCCAATATAAATAAACTGTATACCAAAAAGAAACATTAAGTTGAAGCATAACAGAGAAATCATCTACAACAGATATAATATGAAATGAATATACATTTATCAGCCAATAAAATAAAGCAAATTCATGGGGGGAAAGACTTTATTCTTTGTGTTTAATAAACATAGCAATATGGCAATGTATTGTGGTAACTAATATTTTCAGTTGGCTCTATCTTATCAAGAAATTCATCTACGTGAACGCAAACTTACTATAACTTTGGTAACATAACAAATTTCACTTTGTTTTTTCAATGGAGGTTCTTCGCTGATGTTACACTAAAACAAAAGCAAGAAACCATGAAAGGAGAGTGAACCGATTACTCTGATTTTAAATTTGATAGGAATCTAGAATTGTTGATGTCTCTACTTAATTCCTTAAAAAATGCAAGAATTAGAGTTAACTACGTTCTAGGACACATCAGTAGGAAAAGTTTATTCAAGACCGACATCTCTATACTTCAATTTCATTTCAATTTTAACAGCATTCCATTCACGATTTCAATCGCCTACAACTCAATAATGAGAAAATATCAAATATTTTGCGCCAATTCCTTTGTCAAAAGCTGTTCTCCTAGCTTCCAGAACCAAGAGTAACTCATAATTTCATATTTGAATACATACCCCAGTTTATTTTTACCACTTACTACATTTCTGTGAATGTTAAAGGTTCATGTGTCAGAAGTATGGTATTAAATAAAAAGGGTGAAATATATAAATTATCAATAGTAAAAAGCTTTAAACGATTCCATAACAATGATTCAATTTTCACATTCCAAATAAACAATAGAGATTGTTGGATTTTTGATACCCAATAAATTTCGGGCTATGATGTTAACGTGGGTTAATATTATTTCTTAGGCATAGGCCGATGAATGAAATAAGTCCAACAACCAAGTCCATAAGCTACACCCGACCCAATAGTATTCCTTATGGATGGCTTGAATCTTAGCCTGTTTATCCCTATAATGGCCCAACTTAAAGCCTAACCCTAGAGTATATACAACCCTAGCCACATTCTAATGATGAGTGTGTGATTTTGAGAGAAGAAAAAGTGAATCCCGGCTGCCCCCTTTGTGTGAGAACAAAGGTGTCCAGAAGTGTCCAGAACGCTTGTATAACGTGTGCAATTGGTGGTTCTTTCATAGTTTACCCTTGTGGTGTCTTCTCTTGGCCTTTGTGACGATAAATCATCATCCTTTCTTATCCCACGTGGGTGAGATTGAATAGCAACCAAGGTAAATCAATTGATTGTGGTTTGGAACTGATTGGACTGGTTATTGGTTGAGAAAGGTACGTTGGACTAAGCCCAAAAATCACCGATTTGAAGATCTTCCAAGAGAGCTTTCACAACAATTTGGTATCAAAGCTTTAGGGTGGTGATTTTGGCTCGTGAAACATATAAAAAACGTCCAGAAATTGCAGCAGAAATCAGATCAAAGAAGCTGTCCAAAATCTGTCAAAATCAGTCTCCGTTTTTCACGTTGATCAATCCAGAAGGAGTTTGGAAAAATGGAGAGAACTAGCATAACATGCAAGAGGAGACGAACCCTGCAGGCTGGCGCGTATCGATTGAGGGCGGCGCGTGTGGTGTAGCGTGAGGCCCACGTACAGAGGGAAGGAGCCACGCGTGAGGGCACGTGGAACATTTTTTGGCGACGGTCTCTCCAGGCAATTTGTTCCTCATATTATTTCTAACATTTTTTGTGTTGAAAGTTTTCTGTTTCAGGGTACGCAGTAGAATCTGGACAGCGTTGTTCTTTGGGTATTCGGGACTCGATCGTGGTTTTTTGGTTGCTGCAGTTTCCAGAGACTTTAGGACGAATAGTGGTGGTCCTAAAGTGATAAATCTACAACTCTCGTAATTTAAGGACTTAGATAGGTCCGCTATGGTATATTGGCTTAATTAGTTTAAATTTCAACATTAGCATATCATCGTGTGGGGTGATCGTTAGGATTGGGGATTGTCATCGCTTGGCAACCATTGCTTATGCTAGAAAATTTAGGAATTATTTGCCCTATTTTTGAAGAGTTGAACTTTGATTGCAAGTTGGTAGTTGATTTTGTGCTTATCTGTCATATAGTCACTGTGTGAGAATTGTTGCGTGAAAATTTGAAATTTTTGTTTATATACCTTCGTGTTTGTGTTAATTATCTAATTAGAACACCCGGACTTGACCTGTTCGAACATTCTCTTGATCTAAGATCGTGAATCTTACGAAACCTTGGGAATCTAGAACAGTGTATATTGCGACTTTAGGATTATTTTGTGTGACCTATTTGTGACTTGGTTGTTCTGTTTTTCATTTTCTCTTTAAAAATGTCTTCACACTTTGAAGTTGGAATTTTTAATGGGAAAGGGGATTTTTCAATTTGTTAACAAAAGATGAAGGGTATTTTGGTCCAACAAAAAGTTTCAAAGGCCATAGATGGCAAATTTCTTGCAAATTTAACAGAAGTATAAAAAGAAGAGTATGATGAACTTGCATACACTTCAATTATTTTACACCTGTTCGATACTGTTTTGAGAAAAGTAGGAAAACTGGATTCTACAAAACAACTATGGAAAAAGTTGGAGGACTTATACTTGCTTAAGTCAACTCCTAATAAATTTTACTTACTTGAACGATTTTTCCGCTTTAAAATTGATCCTTCAAAGGATCTTGATGACAATCTGGATGTCTTTAACAAGTTAGTTCAAGATATTGTTAATTGTGATGAAGAAGTATCTGAAATGTATAAGGCTATTATCCTGCTTAATTCCATGCCTGATTCATATAGGGAAGTTAAGAATGCAATTAAGTACGGTAGGGACACCTTAACATCCGAGATTGTCATAGACTCTCTTAGGAGTAAGGAGGTGGAAATGAAGGCTGAAAAAGAGGATAAGAGGAGTGACGAGTTACATATGATGAGGAGTAGGATGAAGTTTAAGCAAATGAATTTGGGTAGAACTCAAGACGGTAGTGATTCGAGTAGTGACTCAAGTGATGAAAGTAGTAAGAAGAAGGGCAAAGGACGAGAGAAGCCTAGTGGTAGAAGGTGTTACAGTTGTGGTAAGTTTGGACACTTTATGAGGGACTATCCCAAGAAGAAAGATAAGCTGAAGGGTAAGATGAGAGGTGAGACGTATTTGGTTGAGGGGTCTAGTTATGACCCCAGTGAGCTTTATTAAGTGTAAACCTATTCACTGCATGTTCATCTGTGTGTGATCCTTTTCTGCATGTGTGTGATTGTCTAAATTTTGTTGCATGATTATCTGCTACATCTCAATGTGTTTGATATGTACATTTGCATGAATTTGAGACATTAGGATTACTTGGTGTAATTTCTTGCATGCATAGTGGGTTAGGATGCATTAGCAGTGTGTTAGATGTCTTTTAGTAAGGTGGAGTATAGATGCCTAGGGGTACATGGTGGTTTGTACCAGGGATGTGGAGTGTGACATTTGGATCACGAGTGGATATCACTTCTATAAGGTGGAGTCCCATTATCTACATAGGTTGGGAGAAGTGATATAGTGATAGAGGATTATCCCGAGAGATTAGGATCTATTGTGACTTGTCAGTGAGACATGAGTTAGTGATTGGTTTAGTGAGCATTGTGGGCGATGAGAGGAGATATGTGTTCTCAAGGTGTGAGCAACATGGAATGGGATAGGATAAGTGTGGTGAGATCTTTCGTGAGGTCATTTATGCATGTGTTGCATATGTGTTTAATCGTGTGCTGATTAACTTGGTGTTAATCGGTGGTTCAGCATGAACTTGAATTTTGAAAAGATCTGTGTACGATATCCTATATAGTATCTTTATCGCATGATTAGTGG